GGCGACCACCCTCCAACTAGAGTCCGCCGCCAAATAGCCTAGCTGTGTTCCGGCGTGTGGGTTGGAGAGCCAGTGTTANAATGAGCTCCCCTCCACGGTGTTTCCCGAGCGCTATGACATGTCCTTCTTCAAACGAGGCTTGTGGAGAGTATTAAGCGGTAGGCAGCGGCTTGGCTCTGCCCATGGCATTGCTGAAGTCCATGGGCGACGGTAACCACTCACCATCAGGTGGGCCGTATGCTCGTCTGCCTACAAGGGCAATAAAAAAAAAAAAAAAAAAAAAAAAAAAAAAAAAAAAAAAAAAAAAAAAAAAAAAAAAAAAAAAAAAAAATTAAATTAAACCGGAGTATAACAGTAAAACCTATTTCACTAGAGCTAATTACAATAAACAATATAAAGGTTATATTAAAATCGCGAAAAGCGTATTTAACTAAAGCCTAGTTTCGACTATTGATCTAAGCATATACGCGTTACTAGTTAACAACGAATCGAATTAAAGCCGCCATTAATTATTCTCAGTCGAACTAACGCTAACTACATAGTCTCTAAACGAGCTTACTGCCAGGTACAAGTTCGGGGATCCTGAACTTCCGTCAATTAGCGTCGAATTAAACCGGCACGGGTGAGGTGACAAATCGGGCCCACAGTCCTCAGTGCAGACGTTGACTAATCGCCGACCATTTAATTTAGGCGGAGTAATTATAAATAAAATTTCGACTATAAATTCAGTTGGGGTACATAAATCAAGAACTTGGGACACTGATTAAAACGCCGTTCTGACAACTATTCGCTAAGTTGATATCGTTAATAATTTACAAGTTGAGGGTTTCGTATTAGGGGCGATCAGGTGTGATGCGTTTACTGTATTTATGTTGTGTTAAATGTTATGCTTAAGCGTTGTTTGGTGATGTTTTGGGTGTATGTTTACTGACGGAATTGTTAAGCTTATCTTTGAAATAGCTTAAATAAAAATCAACGCTATAGTTTGTAATTTTCTGCACTGCATGTCTTTACCTAAATGGAAAAAAATATAGAATTCAAAAAAAATTAATTGTATGTGCTCTATAGCGTTTGAATCGTTTGGTTGAAATAACGAGAACATTCTATGCATTCGAAAAGAATAGAGAATTTATTCATAGACTGCATTTATCTTTAAACCCTGCAGCAAGAAACATGTGCTCAATAACTAACCCAACCCTTCGTCTTTCGTTCTTTTCTTGCGAACTATATTTTTGTATATATATCTCGCTCGCACACACTGTCAAAGCAATGAAACGGCGAATCTATGCGTCTGAATCACAGAGCGTGCCCCCACCCTTGTCTTAAATGAACTGGGGGATAGTAGGTACTAGATATCGTTATAGGTATGGCTTGAAACGAAGATGGAAGTCGAGGGTAACTTCAATATGCTGCTCCGCGTAGAATAGATAGGAAAAGGATTGGTTAATTCGATTTTTGGAATATTTTCACATATTCAAGTTGAAAAGGTAAAAATATACTTTATGGGAGAGTCTTCTGTAGTTTAATATTCCCCATACACAGGAAATTTCGTATACTGTAATCCTGCATGGGTAGATAGATAGTGTCATCATACCTATTTCTTCCAGTTTCAAGGAATAGTCACATCTCAAATAGCATTTACCCACCAGATACTAAAGAGTTCCGTAACAGACAGACCGACCGCGATGTTACCCACACATCTATCCAAAAAAAAAAAAACTGGGCTAGATGAACCTATGAATGTGTAAGGCTTAGGTTGACAAAAAATCGAAACAGGAAAGGTTATCTAAACGCATCTAATAAAGAGTTAGAATAATACAATCCCCAAAATAAATTCAGTTGGGTGTGTTTAAGTTCACATCAGAAGGACAATAGTCAAACCACAAAGTAAATACAAAACACAGTCTTGTTGTACGCTAGAGATAGTCAAGTGCAACTATATACAATTTTCTATTCAATCCAAACCCTTGCCTTTGTCGAGCACGTATAAGAAAATCATGAGACCATTTGAGGGGCACGGTACCGACGAATCTTATCCGTCGACTAACTGTGGCCAGACGTACACCGCATCATCTTATATTCATTGGACGGATTAAACACACAGACTGTTAGTTCGAGCAACGCTGATATGCAATTTCTATTATACATTAACTACCATAACTACCATACATTAACTATCATTTAGGTGCGTGTTAATACGAATGTTGTGACTGATGAACAAGATCGGAACAATGTTAAAGTATAAGTTATTAAATTATATTCTTTTTCTTTGATTTTAGAGACCTTTGGCTTGGCACTTCACTTGAGTGCTATAACATTTAGTGGGATAACTATTTGCTCAATTAAAACGTTGCTATTATGAAAAGAAAATTGTATTTGTATAATTTTATTATTCAAAAATCGTGAAAAAATATGTGACAAAAATAAAGTACCCGTTAAGCCTTATGGCTTGAAAGTTAAACTTATAAGATTAAAAGAATTGAACATGAATCATTATGACTTTAAAACACAGCCCAAGTCATTAATCGCTCATAAGCTAGGTTTTCATAAAAATATATACATATACCTACTCGTATATATACACTTTGATCTGAGAAACGGTGCTTAGCGAAAGGAAGACATTTTTTTTTTATGAAATGCATTAAGGTTTTTTATTGGGTTGACCAGTGAAGAAAATCACAGCCAACCTTATGTAATGCGGTGAGCTGAGTCAGTAGAAAACACAACGTGAATGCCGCCCTCGCTTTAAGGTCGAAATCTCTATTGCTTTGTATATATCATAGCGGCAGGAATAGGCAGCATTTTGTATTATTCTTTCAAGCTTACAACATGCCATACTACCTGTAGAGGATGTCAGATGTAATAATAAATCGAAACAAATCACGCCTTAGCTGTGCTATGGGTACCAGAGACTGAAATACCTACTTAAATACGTTTAAATATATACATACATAAATAAAACACACCTAGACAAAGGACAACCAAAATGCTCATCAGACAATGTTTGCCCAATGTGATTTCGGCGAGACAGTCTGGAGCGCTGGCTACTGCAGCACGGAGTCAGTCCATAGACACAGCTCACTGAATTTCTCACCAAACCTTCTCAGTGGGTCGCGTTTCCGATTCGGTGGTAGATTCTGCGAAGCACTGCTCTTGCTAGGGCCAGTGTTAGCAACACTCCCGGTTTGAGCCCCGTGAGCTCACCTACACGTCAAGGAGAAATTGAAATAACTTCTCAGGGCTATCAGCATCATCATTCATCATTATTTCCTGTTACCCTCTGCTGGGGTGTAAGGCTCGAATCAAATTTTTCCATTTATATCGGTCTTGGGCAGTCTGTTCTAGACCATCCCACGTCATGCCCAAGACACCTAGCTCCTGCTCCACCGAGCTTCACCAAGTTGTTCTGGGGCAGCCTCTCTTCCTTTTTCCAGACACTTTCCAGGTCAGTGCTCTTTTTGATAGGCTATCAGCATAGGTAGGAAAAAAAACCAGAGTCAGTCAAACGAACTGAATGCTGTTGATTTTTATCGTCGGTGTGTAGCCGAGTAACCCAATCGTCAGTATAATGTAACCGCGAACGTCTCACCCGTTTCCTCCCGGCTTAACCGATAATAAAACACCCAACTCATTTCAACGGGGCACTGAAAGTTTCCATAATATCATAATCATATTTGATACGTGATCTTGTGCTGGTGGAAGAGCAAATTCTGTTCCCGCAATAGTAAGGTCACTATTCTGCCTATTTTAATTATATGTTTGTGCAAGAAACTTGACCTTAATGTTAGACACATTGGTTAAAAACCCCTTAATCCAATGCCTGATCATAAGGAACGTAAGAGTTTTGTTTAACCAAGCTATGGTATGGTAGGTATGCTAATTTTCCAATAAGACCGCAATACACGGTTTTTTTTTTATTGCTTAGATTTGTGGACGAGCTCACAGCCCACCTGGTGTTAAGTGGTTACTGGAGCCCATAGACATCTACAACGTAAAGGCGCCACACACCTTGAGATATAGTTCTAAGGTCTCAGTATAGTCACAACGGCTGCCCCACCCTTCAAACCGAAACGCATTACTGCTCCACGGCAGAGATAGGCGGGGCGGTGGTACCTACCCGTGCGGACTTACAAGAGGTTCTACCACCAGTAAACCCATTCAAAGGTAATGTACCTAACAAGACAAAAAAATAAACCCATTCAAAAATTTCGTATCGCTATTATTTTAACCGTGGAAACAGTAGCGAGCCCGTCTTAGCTGTTAATGTACATTAATTATTGCGATGTGGGGGGGCGACGTTTACAATGTTACCGTTTTGAATTATGCCTCTTAATGGGTTTACAATGGAAGTTTCGGTTGAACTTGTCATTGTAGATTTATCTTGTTGATTTGTGTGAAGGTTTTAATTAAAAAAGCCGCAGATACGTCTAATACAGAAACAGTTTTATGTATCCTTATTAAGTTTGCATGAGAAAAATAAGTCTCGGTCTGGTGTTAGGTAAACAGAATCCTTTGACGCTATTTCGATTGCCTTGAAACATGACGTCAAAATTTCGGTTGATATAATAGTTATCTTTACTCTTGAAAGCAGAATGCTTGATTAATTCGAGACAGGAATAGGTAAAACAATTGTGGTAACTAGTACGATTCGCAACTCCCCACTAATATTTTTAGTTTGTGTGTCAAACGGGCTAGAGCTCATTTAGTTTCAAGAGATATATATTAGTCTGTAAACGGCCGTCTGGTGTAGTGGTAAGTGACATGGTCACTATACAAGGGGGTCGCGGGTTCGAATCCCGCCAAGGGAAGATATTTGTATGATAAATATAAATGTCTATTCCAGGGTTATGGATGTATATTAAATATATGTATGTGTATAATATATATATAAAAAAAAAAAAAACGATTTTTCATTTGTTTTAGGTATGTTAAAAGGTCGCAAATTTATCTCGTTTATCATTAAAGCCCTAAGCTGGATGTATAGGTTATCAAGCACTCACCGGTGTGTATGTATGTGTGTTTCTTCATATCAGATTTCTGGTGGAATCTCTTTCCGCAGTACTGACAAGGGTATGGCCTGGTGTCGGAATGAATTAACAGGTGAGTGGAGAGAGTGCTCGATCTCTTGAAGGTTTTCCCGCATTGTTTGCACTCGAAGAGTTTCGCCACGCTGTGTAGTGCCCTGTCAGGGATATCGTTGTGAGTACGTGGTTAATAATTCTAAATCAGCGATTCCCAATGTGGTCCACATCAACCAATGTCTACGAGAAATAAAAATGGCTATGGTGATTTACGTTTCTACCTGCTTCTGCCGTGAAGCAGTAATGCGTTTCGGTTTGGCAAGCGTCAAGGTAGGTGCCGGCGTTTACGTTGTAGATGTATATGAGCTCCGGTGACGACTTAACATCAGGTGGGCCGTGAGCTCGTCTACCCACCTAAGAAAAACAAAATAAAAAATACGTGAGTCGATCTCATTTGGAGGGGGCTTTTCAGCGTGGGTTTGGTAACGGTAACAGAAAACAATATTAATTCGGGGATTAATGTTGAATTAATAAGCAATGTATTAATGTTCGCGCAGTTTTGATAGACAGGAATAGTAATACACACCTGTGTTGACTCAAACTGATTTCATGGCCGAATGTCTTACTGCATTGTTCGCAAGCAAAGGGTCTTTTGCCGTTATGAGATCTCCTCGCGTGAACTTCCAGGCCATGGGGTGTACTGAACATCTTCTCGCACTTAACACATGAATACACATCTCCGATCGGCAATGGCCTGGTCAGAGGTCCTGGAGCTCCAAGCACTGCCGCTCGAAGCCTCAACAATTCCGGCCCTGCAGCTTGTACAGCATGAAGATATAGGTTACTGTAGCCTCCCCATCCGTGGAGACCAAGACCGCCAGCGTCTCTCAAGAACTCAGCAAAAGGTAACGGTGGATATAAAAAGGGTCTTTGAGGTTGAACTCTTGGGGCATCTGGTCTCAACAAAGCGCTGACCGAGAATGCTTCTGATCGTTTTGGTGGAGGCGATGAGTCGGGTTGTCTCCGTGGCGATGAAGGTGGAGAATCCACCTCGAGTTCAGGTGAACTGGATCGTACTGATCTTGGCGATTGAGGAGATGGAGCCCAGCATGGACTGCCGCATCGTGAAGCTGGTGATGTGCCTTCAGCTCTAGTCTCATTGTTGTGTAGTTCTTCTTCTTCCTCGTCCGTTCTATCGCCGACTAGCCGATTGATGCCAAACTTGATTTTTTCTGCAAAGACCAAAACTCACATTCATATTCAGGTTGAGATTCAACAAATGTTTTGAATTATATTCGAACAATTCAAATAAAGCCGCATTGTGACTTCGATCAAATAAGACAATATTTACAAAATCCACTGTGCAGTCTAACTTATTACCACAATAGACCTCGCAATTGTGCGAGCACAATAGCGAACTGGCCCCCAAGCGCAGTGAAACAGCGCAGGTGCCACACTTGTCGCTCTCGATGAAATGGGCCGTATCATGTCGCAGCAGCAAATTGACTCTCATCTGTTCTCAACCCTCGCCCGGCCCCCGTAATTAACACATCGGGTCGTTGCGACCCCAGTTCTTTTTTACAATTCACTAATCCGCGGGCGCGAAAGGTCTCAACAGATAACAATAGTTTGTTGTTTGGTTAATATTTCGCGCCTCGCTGCCTGATGTAGATATTTATAAGTTTTAAATTTACACAATAATAATATGAAAATTAATTTTTAAAAATATAATGTTATTGGAAGACTTTTCAAACGAATATACCAATAGTTTTGAACTACATTGGTACGTCTTGAAATTTCTAGAAATATTCCTTTGAGGTGGTGATTATTGTGTATTGCCTGTATAGATCTGTCTGACGATGTGAGTTTGTCCAATATTTAAGGTCTTAATCAAATGTAAATCGAAACAATTACGATTTACGATTACGTTGTTTGAGAGACAGTCAAATAATTAAAAATCATCGGAGAACCATCGGCGTGGACTCACGCTGTCTAAAAACAAACATCGATCTCTAGACGAGACAAGTTACACTAATGAAGAGGGACCCCCTACATCTGAAACGCAGCAGCTGTCGGCATTTGGAGCGGAACCAATCGGCAGGATTCGGCAAAACTCGGCAATGACTCTTCGCCCCTTTCACGACCGGGACTCTTCAACAATGGGCAGCGTTTAAGGGTTGGCATTGTACACTTGTTTGTTTGTCCCCCTACGCGACACGGTTTTATTGCCCCATAGCATTTATTACATATTAATGGTTATTTAGATTCATTGTTCCGTTACTACAGTATGCTCGAATTTATGGTCTTGCAAAATATTGAATGTGTGACCCCCACGAAATGAATGAAGGAATCGTAATTATAGATCCCGTTTCATTGTGTTAGCTTATTGGATAATTCAAGGCTTGATTTGCGTTTTGATCACGTCATATTGCAAACTACTTATTTTGTTCTAATTTAGAACATAGAATCGGTATTTAGAAATATGATATGACATTCCCTGGTGGTAGGACCTCTTGGGAGTCCGCACGGGTAGGTACCACCACCCCGCCTATTTCCGCCGTGAAGCAGTAATGCGTTTCGGTTCGAAGGGTGGGGTAGCCATTGTAACTATAGTGAGACCTTAGAACTTATATCTCGAGGTGGGTGGCGCATTTACGTTGTAGATGTCTATGGGCTCCAGTAACCACTTAACATCAGGTGGGCTGTGAGCTCGTCCATCCATATAAGCAATACAAAAAAAAATCCCTCGTTCCTTTTTACTTCTGACCTATTTTGATTACCATCTACTGATTCGTTATCCATGCTAAGCATACGTTTTAACAAATCCAAATGTAATACTATTTGCATGCTTATATAATGATTTTCACTTATTTTCACCGTGGCTATTCTATTAAGCAAGCAAATTAATTAAATTTCAAAACGAAAATAATTGGATTACATGTCTCTGTCTGCGTTTTTTTATGCAAACAGCACATTACCGTCATTACGAGGCGGCTACTTGTGCGCTTAATGCAATTTTAATTATAAAAGGTGCGCCGCAGAGCGAAGTGTAGGTACTAGTGCATTCAGATTGGTATTTAGATAGCTTTTAACAAATTAAAAATAAGCTTTTCCGTGTTTTTTTTTTTTATTGCTTAGATGGGTGGACGAGCCCACAGCCCACCTGGTGTTAAGTGGTTACTGGAGCCCATAGACATCTACAACGTAAATGCGCCACCCACCTTGAGATATAAGTTGTAAGGTCTCAGTATAGTTACAACGAATTTCGAATTTCCACGTTAGTTCGGTGGGAGGGTTGATATATTTTTTTTACTGTTGTGCTGTTTTGTTTTATAGCGTGTTTTTTATAAGGATTTTTTTCATGGCTACCCGTGTCTACTTCCTCGCGATCGTTTCGCGTGTCGAAATAAATCTGCGGGTATCAACCTGCGCGAGCTAACATCTATTATCTATATATATAAAAATGAATTACTGTTCGTTAGTCTCGCTAAAACTCGAGAACGGCTGGACCGATTTGGCTAATTTTGGTCTTGAATTATTTGTAGAAGTCCAGAGAAGGTTTTAAAGGTAGATAAATATCAAAATTCCTTTCGTTTGTTTTGAATTTATTTTATACAAAAGTTTAGATCTTTTATTTGTCGATTGAGGCACTACGAAGTCTGCCGGGTCAGCTAGTAACAAATAAATATTAGTCGATGTCTGCACCTTTATGACTTGTAATTACTCATTCAAGGTATTAATATTCAAGAAATTATTCGGTTTCTATAATTGAGTGACTCAAAAGTTTCCTTCAGTTTTTGCAAGTCGCAAACATGACTCAACAACTATTGCAGGATCCACAGGATAAGATATCGTGAACTTCAATTATTTCAAAGCATGTTATGAAACATAATCTATATTTTTTAAAATGAAAATTTGACGGTAGTCAACATAATATTCAAATTACGACAAACAAAAACATCGACATTCATATTCGTTTAACAGATCGTTATTATTGATAATGAATAGATAATAATGTATAGATAGGCGAAATTTCAATCATAAATAATAAATGCGTGAGTTACTGAATTTAATCTACGTCATATTCATTCAAGAATTGAAAACGTGTTTTTTTTTAAATACATTGTTTCATGGGACAGACGGGACAGACAGTCTCAGCTGAAATAAAGAGACCATCGACGCCCATAGAGATAGTACTTTAGTCGATGGCTAAGCGTGTTGTCGGCTGGGTAGACAAAATTGTAACAGTGGTTGGTAAAGATTGGCTTGACAAGGATAGGCCGCCAAAGATAGAAATAAGTGGTGTACCTGAGCAAGCTTTTACCCGAAGAGGGTCCGTACAGAAATAATGAAAATAATAATCAATAAGAAATTAATATAAGAAACTAACTTTTAATCAATTAATGTATGTTCAAATTATGCTTCTTTATTGCATGTCAATTTCTAATTAATTTGTCAATTAAGCTATATCTCTTTTTATTTGTATAAGAAAATAATGCAATTTAATTGTTAATTATTTTTGTACGGAGTAAAGAAAGCTTTATTATTATTATTGTTGTATTAAGCACTGCCTCGCCTGGGAAAACGGCAGGACACACTCCGGCGAGGTGGACAACAATCGGCCGGAGCGTTAGGGACTATTGAGAGAGAAATCGGCGAAGTATATGGGCAAAGTCCAGCAAGACTGCTTTTTGCATCTGGGCCACCACCGATTTTTTGTTGAGACCAAGCCTCTCGAGATGTTTTGAGAAGCTTTTTGGAACCAAACCATTCACCGATACAACTACCGGAATTATTTCTGAAGATACCACCCTCCACATGTGGGTCACCTCATGCGTCAGGTCCAGATATTTCGTTTTTTTATCTGCCTCGGCGCGCACGAGGTTCTCGTCGTAGGGGATGGTGATGTCCACCAGAAATACCCGAGACTCCGTCCGGTCCATCGGCACGATATCAGGCTTATTCACAAGAATAGTCCTGTCCGTGATAGTGGACCGGTCCCAGTAGAGCTTGGCGCGGTCGTTTTCGAGTCCGGCGTCCGGCTGGTACTTATAATACGGTAGCCTCTGTTCGATTATTATTATTACTAGACGATGACCGCATTTTGCTCGTTTTTTTTTTGATAACGCCATCTTGTTGTGTCTTTAAAGCGGTTAGTTGCCCTTAATTAAGAAAAATAGTATTATTATTCGCCAATAGATGTCGGGAAGAGTTGATTATTGAAAACACGAATAAAACAACATTTTCTGAAAATAAATCGTAGCTAGATCGATTTATCGCCCCCGAAATCCCCTGTATACTAAATTTTATAAAAATCGTTAGAGCCGTTTCCGAGATTCAGATTATATACATACCTATATATAAATTTACAAGAATTGCTCGTTTAAAGGTATAAGATTATTATTATTAAGCATGATTGTTATTATTATTAATATGCTTAAGCATGTTGCATTATTGAAACACGGACATGTGTCGCTGTCGCACTAGACATAAGTTTGAAGCTTCAATTAATCGGCGTTATTGTAAAAAGAAGTCGAACGTTCGCATTCCGAATTTACATGAAAGTATATTAAATGAATATAGACAAATTTTTGCAAAGTCACGTACGTATTATAATTAATCAAGATTTATATTGTAATAGACTCGGTACTTATACGGGACGCATGACGGATCTAACAAAAATTTAATAAAGCCAGGACGAATGTTGGAGCTTCGAGCTTGGATGGGAGGGCTGTCTGCAGTGGCGAATTAAAATAATGAATTACGACTGATTTCATTTTCGGACTATTGCACTTCGAATATTTATTAAAATAGTATTTCATTCAATTCCCATGATTCGTAGGCAAAATTAAAACTATTTTTACGGCTTAATCTCGTATCGAACAGTCGTGCGTAACCACGAATAATGTAAAGTATTCAAAACGGTTTTTTTGTATTGCCCTTGTAGGCACACGAGCATACGGCCCACCTAATGGTGGGTGGTTACGGTCGCCCATGGACTTCAGCAATGTCAGGGGCAGAGCCAAGCCGCTGCCTACCGTTTAATAATCTTCACAAGCCTCGTTTGAAAAAGGAAATGTCATAGCGCTCGGGAAACACCGTGGAGGGGAGCTCATTCCAAAGCCAGATGGTACGTGGCAAAAAAGATCTCTGGAAACGCACTGTGGATGAACGCAATGGCTCCAGGTAGTATGAATGACCTCTACTCCGGTGGCGGGCGGTGCGATGGTAA